TTTCTTAGAGGCATATCCAAACAAATTTTTTTGACTTCAAATTCTTCATTTTCTGACACATTTCGATATACTGATTGTGAAAATACGCCCAAATGAGGGAAACCTTAATTTTTTGTGACATTTTCATGCTGATTGAGATTAACACCAAATAAAAATGTTCCAAAAAAAAGGTGAAGAACTCGAAATTGAGAATTTGTGTGAAAAGTGCCTTTGACCCATCTATTTTTCAGACCTCGCAGTGACAATGCAAATCGTCATTCCATTGGAGTACTAGACATATTTGGCTTCGAAAACTTTGAAATAAATAGCTTTGAGCAATTATGCATCAATTACGCCAACGAAAGCTTGCAACAGTTCTTTGTTCAACATATCTTCAAAATGGAGCAAGCAGAATATGATCAGGTTAGTTTATTTCTTGGAATCCTTTTTTTGTGTTATTTCAGCTTCTGAACTTTTAGGAGCAAATTAACTGGCGGCATATCAAATTCATTGACAATCAAGATACACTCGAAATGATTGCAATTCGACCAATGAATTTATTCTCATTGATTGATGAGGAGAGTATTTTTCCTAAGGTGAGGTGCCTCGATCAATATATCGATTGAGAATTACAGTATGCTTGACCTTTTCATCCTTAGGGCACTGATCAATCAATGTTATGCAAGCTGCATAACAACCATTCGAAGGATATCCTGTATCTGAGGCCGAAGTCTGATCTGCAGAGGTCTTTTGGTGTAAAACATTTTGCTGGACCGGTTTTTTATAATACTAAGGGTTCGTGTGTTTTGGAGGGTTAACATCAACGAACTTCAATATCTTCCTTTACAGGCTTCTTGGAGAAGAATCGCGACGCATTCTCCGCCGATCTCCTTGGCCTTGTACAGGCATCAAAAATGCATCTTCTATTGCGAATATTTGATATTGTGGATTATAATGAAAATGGGACCATTAGGTAAATTCAATTTGTCTCTGGAAATTTTAAACAAACCTACTTATTTTAGAGGTAAAGGTGTTACTGTAAGCGGTCAGTTCCGAAAGTCTCTCGATCAGCTAATGCAGCAACTCAATCAAACCGAGCCGTTCTTTATTCGCTGCATAAAACCAAATGAGTACAAAAGAGCTTTAGTGAGTTACGGTATTGCTACGGTAAAAGTAATATTATGTTTTTTTAAAAACTAACATATGACAGAACAAATAATAAATAAGAAATAACTGCGAATCTTGATCTAGATGAATGGACGACTGAATGATGAGTAAATAAATGAACAAGTAAACGAATAAATATGTAAGGATGTAAATGGATGAGATCAATAAACAGTTGAATGAATAGGTGAATAAATAGACGAATTAGTGGATGAATGGATATAGATTGGATGGATGAATTGGTTAATGAGCGATTGACTGAATGAATGAATGAATGAATGAATGAATGAATGAATGAATGAATGAATGAATGAATGAATGAAGGAATG